GTGCTTTAATGCACGACATTTAAATGAGAGATAACGAGTATGCAATAGAATAGCGTGCGAGACACGCTCGGTAGCGACGTGGCGAGTACATGCGTGGTGTTGGCTCAGGGTTCGAGTGCCGCTGCGGAGGGCTGTTCTGCGCCGTGCACCGGTACAGCGACAAGCACGAGTGCTCGTTCGACTACCGAGAGCTGGGTGCGCAAGAGATCCGCCGCAACAACCCCGTGGTGGTGTCGCAGAAGATACACAAGATATGAGCCCCTCCGCCTGTCCTAGGACTACACCCTCACCGCACCGCATTACATACGTTTTATGATTTTCTCTAAATAAATATTCGATCGAGTTTGTGTTTCTTATTTGCATTTTGTATGTATTTTCGACTGCAGGTCGACGACGTCGTGCCGTCGTTCGTTCTCTTTGTTTCGTTTCTTTTATTTGACGAGAGCTCCTTTGCCTCGCGACTGACACCGTTATTCGGACGAATGCGACAGCGTAGGAAACACAGACTCGATCTACTGTATTTAGATTTATTTGTGGCGAGAGTTTTACTTTTAAATTTTTATTAAAAGTTGTAGATAATGTTCGTTTCGGGTAGGAATTCAGGATTAATTTTTGAGATAATAAGTAGAGTTTGAATATTGTCCGTTCACCTCCATTGTAAATATTAGATATAATTAATTATAGAAACAAATCCTATATATTGTAAAAAATTAAAACTCCCAAAAAAACCTACATTGTTATGATTCCAACGGAGAGCGTAGCGCGCTTGACCATATCGACGTAACAATGGTAGTCGGAGCCGACTCAGCCGACCGCGGCCGGGCTCGTCTCTCCGTCGATCGCCTAGTTGTACATTGTAAGGAGTTCGCTGCCGCCGACTTGACTCGTGTTTGTGACAAACATTCGGACCGTGATAGAGTAGCGAACCTCCGCCGGCCGCATCTGTGCTAGACAACGATTAGTTCGCGACTGCACCGCGCCGACTCGGACTGTGAATTAACATCATCTTCAAATTGTTAGTAATGTTATTTTGGTTTGGGAAGTCGTCGCTTTCTTATTTGTCTTAACATTCGGCATAAGTGACTAGAGTTTAGCGAGATTGTGGTGTGTATCGGCTAAGTGAGCGCGACGGCTGCGGGCGGCCGGCCCCGGGTGCCCGATACCCGCGTGCGCCATGTTGCCAGTATCAGTTACATATACGCCAGCCGCTCCCATGCCGCTCCGCTCTTTGTGTGAAATTTTAAGTAAGCTACGGATAGTTATAAAATATTATAAGTAGTCGACACTTTATATTATTACACATATAAGTAGAAAAAGAATTATTTAGCTTTTTTCTTTTAATCACAATATTATTCAAAATTGTAAGTTGTATTATGTAACTTGTTCATTTAGTGGTGAAGTTGAATCAATAATACCTATGTATCGCTTCGGTCGTTGTCCACAGTAGACTAACTGATTGGTTGGACTTAATTATTTAATGACTTTTGTTGTATATTTTGTTAGGTCATTGATTAATTTTGGTCTTTTCGCTTGAACATAATCAGATAAAGATGATGTTAATGAATGATTTTCCTTCTATCTTGCTGTTTTAATTTAGTTATTCTCTTATTAAAGTCATTAAATTTTCAGGAACATATGTATGTTTTTATTTCAATTAACCCACTAAAAGTTAACTGTCAAATTAATAACACAAGTTTCTTCATTTGAACCTTTGATTCTTATTCGAAAGGAACCCGTTATATCCTAATATGACTGTTCACAAAGTATATTGCTATGTGTGCGCCACATTACGGCGAGGCGATCAACCTCTTATTATTCTCCAAGGAAAAAATGTTAATATTGTTGATTGCACCAAATATACGTTTGCTAATAAATTCACTGGGTATGTTTTATTGATCTTCAAACAGTTGGTCCCCATAAAACGATAAAAATATATTTTTTTATAGAAATATATACATAAAAATGTTTCAGACATTAAAATGGAGTGTTTCATCTTCTATTCATTTAGGCGTAAATAAAATTCTAATCAAAGACTGATAGTGATTGACACAAAAGTTAGGTATACGTTATAATATAGTAGAAAGAATTTAGTAGTATCTTTTGTTATCATGCTTTAATAATGTCTTTAAGCACTTGGTGTACACTAAACTATCTATCTGAAATAATTGATTGTACTTAAGGTTACACTAGTCGATATCTTTTCCATAGAAAGTTCGGGGTGGTATTACTCGACAGTGTGAATGTGTACCTACAAAATGAAACACGATATCGTTTTATCTTGTAATTACATTTGTCGGTACGGAAACAAAAAAAATAAAAAAAAAACTACTAAAAAGTTATGAGCCAACAAAGTTTTGTTTTTCTTTACAATTTTAACGCAACTTTGGGTGTTAAAAAATACCACTAATCGTGTAAAATCTCCAAACCGAAGACCGTACCGACTCAGCACAATTACCATAAAGTTCTATAAAATTTATTTGAAATTGATCTAAGCAGTGGTTTTTTCAAAAAACGCTATTTTCTAAAGCACTAAATCGTACTTTTTTACGCACTCGTTTTGTGATGGATTATCGTGCATTTCACTGGATAAAACTCCCCCGGCAGTGGCGCGGGGCGGAGGGAAGACGCACACGCGTTTTTGCACAATTTTTTGCACAATTATTATTTGCACGACACGCGCTGTCGTGCAATTGTCGTGATTTAGTGAAGTTGTTTTGGTTGATTGCATGACACTTGGAATTTCCAAGTGTCATTGGAAAATACATAATAAACAATGGGTAAGTCGTCCCTACAATTTATTATACCTTATCTAATTAGATTTTATTAGATACAGTTATCGGTTTAAATTAAATTTTGTGTAGAAACTGCTGATGGAATCCAGTTGAAAAAAACGCATAATTATTATTATCAGGTACAAGGCCAACTGATGGTAACTAAAAGAAAGTTTTGTTATTTTGTTGTTTGGACGCCAAATGGCATCGAAATAGATATAATTGAAAGAGATGATGAGTTTTGGACGCCAGACAAAATTTCTAAATTAGATATATTTTACCACCAATGTGTTTTGCCGGAGCTGATAGATCCGCGTTACCCTCGTAAATTACCATTTAGAGATAGATTTTAAGTCAATGTCAATAATTACGTTAAATAAATATTACGATTACCAATAAAGATTTTTCAGGTTCATTGTTTTTTTTTGTCTATAAATAAAAGCATAATAAATAAGTAAGTAACTAAAAGGGTGAACCCTTAGCAATTATACCCAGCCTTGCGGCGCTCTCCTGTGCTGCTAATACAGATACTATACCGGCATGAATATTGAGCGTTGACTCAGATTGCGCAGAAATCAAGTCTCTTTAGTAGTAGGTATTGTGAGAAGGATTGTTGCTACCTACAATTCTTCTCCCAAAAATCCTTTTACAGTGATTAGCTCGCCAATGTATACCTACCCACTTTGATGCCGAGCGCTCAAGATTCGAGCCGGTATCTCTACTTATGTTTGTGTCAGGGAGGTACCTAGTGCGCAGCTTTATGTTACGTTCCGAGCTGCCAAAAAGTCTGTAGGTACCTAACACGAAGTTGGAGTTAGGGACCTACCTACACGATGTAGGTATGAAGTCCACAAGTTTTGTTACGGACGAAATGACGAAAATCTAATTATGTGGTATTATCACTACTTCTAGTAATCTTAGGTAGTCACCGACGTACCTAACTAGGTAAGTATATATTTAATTTTATGAAAACATAATGACAGATCAATTGTCTCGAAATTCAGGAAATAATTCAGACCAGTAAGTACCTACCTAAATAGGTAGGTAGTTCCTGAGATTATTATGTTCAACCAAACAAACTATAATATTAGTTAAACATTATAACCTGATGAAAATATGACATTTGAACTGTATTATTTAGATAAAAGATGCATCTAGCTAGTTTGTAGTAGGTACATAAAGTTATTGGTACTTAGAAAAAAAAATATTATATAAAATTATATCCCTAGCCTTTCGTGGATTCTTCGGATCGGATGATAAGTTGATATCATAAAAAAATTGTCAGTAATTACAATGCCCTGTGACAATAATTATTAAATTCATGCGAGCATCATAAAATCGTAGCAGCGTGTACGACTTTACTACGAGTAAACACACACAGCACAGATATATGCACCGTTCAGTGACGTTTTGCTGTGTTTGTGTGCGTGCGAACAATACGTCGTGCAAATAGATAGCGTCTAACTGCTCATCACTGGTACTATTTCTGTCACACACGATGTTAGATGAGACAGCGCGCTTTTTGGCCACGCCCTTGATTGAGTTCGAGCCCGCGACTAGTTTAACCTTAATTTATTATTTTATTTATGTTTTATTTTTCCTGCAGAAATAGTTGAATAAAACTATTTATCTAATATCTATTAATCTCTATAACACTTTTTTCACAAAGATGTTGCAATTTGTTTTTCTACATTAACGTAAAAATGGACTTTCGTTCGTTCATTAGGCTTATTCCAAATATATTAAATAACTACATACTTTTACCGATACGTAAAAAAATATAGTTTTGTATGATATATAATTTTTTATGAGATTCGATTAGGTAGTGTATAAAAATTTTGGTGTTAAATTAACTTTTTACCTATAAAATTTAATCAATTCTAATGAGTCAGATCTAGTGAGATTGACAATAGGTACATTAATTTTTTTTAACCTTAAAGTACTACAAACATCTTTTTTGTTGTGGTAACAGCCTTATTGTATTATTTGCGTTTTTATATGTTTTATTTATAAATTTATGTTTATTATAGAATGCATAGATGTTTACAGATAGTCTACATGTTTTCCTGTGGGGCATAGGTAATTAGGTATACAGTATTCTGTCTATCGGCAGCTCTAGGCGTATCGTTACTATGAACTCGTATAGACATGATAGAGGATTATATTGGGGACTCGGGGTGTTGATATCTTAAAGAATTATTATGGAAACCAGGTTGTTCATGGTGAATATTTTAATAAGTTTATTATAACAAAAAATCACAAGATCTTAAATATTACATAATAACTTATGTAAGTCGTTAGTTATGTTTTAACCATTTTTAAGTTTGATTAAAGTTTATTATCATACAATAAACAATATCACAACCAGACCACTTACTTATATTTGTACTTTAATCTAATTCTAAAAATGCTAAGTACAAAATAAGGCTATTAACTCCTATCTTCAATAGTTGTCATGAGAACAATTATATAATTTTAGTTTGTGAATGATATCTGAGTACCACACGTTACTTAACAAATTCTTTGGAGAACAACTTTACTTGACTAGTCAACATAATGTTACATATTGATCTGTTGTTATGTGTATACGTATATATTGCTATGTGGCAGTTTTGTTAGACGTTTGTAACTTGTCTGATCCATTCACGTACGCTGGACACCCTGGAGAACACGACTAGGGCTCCATTCTTGCATTCGTGGGCATCATTCTCCACCCAAGAGGCGACACCGATGAGTTTGCCAGTTTCATCAACCAAGCCGCTGCCGCTGTCACCCTGGAAAAGCAAAAGAACATGTAATGTGTTTAATAGTAAAATTGGAAGAGGCACCTAACCCATATTCTTACATTTAGTGGCTACCTTCTCTTGCACCTTTTATGACCATTTTTGTTATCTGGGGTGTGTTATATGGGTTAACTGTTTCAATCTCATTGTTTGTTCGATATTTATCTTAACAAGTCCGATGGAAGACTTTTGGACGTCCTCTGCCCCATCTAGGAGACATAGGACTTAAAGTCAAGTAAGTGATTATATTATAAGTTTCATTCAAAATTAATGGGATATTTCGACCAAATGAGATTTATCTGTTCCTGAGACGAGCCAATATCAAGACTTACTCTCGACTACAGGTTTGGGCTGCTACATGTGCAGAGAGGGTTTTTTAAATTAAAATCTTGTTGACACTTACGTTGCAAGCGGAGTCGTACCGCGGTGGGCGTCCTTTGACACACAGCATGTCCTTGCTGTTGTACTGTTCCAGAGTGGAGCACACGTCGTCACTTTGTACGGCCAACTCCATTCCGTGCATGTCACTGCGCATGGTACCCTGGGAACAACGAGTGGAAATATTATTCGTCGTAGTCGTATTTAGTGCATTTTGAATCGTCGCAGGTGCGTTGTAAGTTATACAATCTCGAATAATTTAGTTTTAGCTGAAACAAATATGTTGGATGCTGATATCCTTTTTTTGTTAAGGGGGGAAAATCATCGAATGACTGCTCCCGCCTGGGTGAGGCGGGAGGGAGTGTCAGACTCTTACTGACTAAAAACCACCCCGTTCCTTCTCCTGCACGTCGAGCCGGAGCCCCGGTTACCCGTTAGGTTCTCCGCGACATGCTGATACCCTAGAGGACTTTCAGAGAGAGCGTCTAGAGCGTGTAAAGCAATTGCACTTGCGTTTTTAGGTAGCTTATTAATTTTAGTCGTTAGTAGGTATCCTTCAAAGATCTAATAACCTAGATTTTCTTTTGTTTTAGGTAGGTGGTACCCAGTACCCAGTACCTACATATACCTATGTAATATTGTGCTGAGTTTGCTTACACGTTATAAATGCAAGCGCGAGATGAACTAATTATATTATTTGTCTGTTAAATAGTAGCTGTCGCAGTGTGCAAAAATGATATTATTTATTATAATTAACTTAGTAGTTACGTACTGTAATGAAAGTTACGAGTTGCCAATGTAGTGGCACTAGCGGTTTCGATATCACGCAAAAAAAAGAAATTGTCACGGTCTCATGAATATGTAGGGTGCAATTGCAGTAGGTACCTATCACTTTTAGCGGTTTCAGTATTTATCTGCGATGCGATACTTAATGAATGATGAGAAAGGTTTCTTATTGAATTAGGTACCTACGAAGTACTTACCTACTTTCGCCATTTACCTGAGTCACTATACACTTATGCTAAAAAATGTAGGTAGCTACCTATATTGAAGCGTTATTGTATTTTATCTTTTGTGTTTTTGATATACCGTGACTTGTTGCCAATTATCTAATTATATACATTTCTTAACGTTTTTCTTTATTTCATTTCCTTTTCTCGATCAGGAATTTGTTGAGCTGATCGAGGGACTACAGCTTGTTAATTAACTAACAGAGTATCTGTTATCTAATGGATGAAGTTCTTTAGAATACTTACACCGAAGTGGTCGGTACCGTAGCCGGCGTATCCCACGTTGAGTCCAACAGGTAAGTTGGACTGGTCGTTCAAGGGAGCTGCGGCCATTGTCTTTCCGTCTAGGGGCAGGGGCTCGTTCAACTCGGCCAGCAAGAAGTCCCACCGGGCAGCCACCTGTTAATATAGGTAAAAAATTGCATTAAAATCACTTCTCGGATGTGTGTTTAAATGTCATATGATTCCTAACGCAATATTGGAGTATGAACTTCCTCATAGACTCAGATGACCACATGTTACAACTAGGTAGGCATTTTTTATTTGCTACTCATATTTTTCTTTTCATTTTTCTTGATGCAAGTCTTTATTGGACGTAGTAAGCATCTACATAGGTTCAAAAAGAAATAAGTCCCATTGTTGCCTACCTGTTTGAGGTTGAAGTCATCAGCATCGAGCCAGTATGGTCCCACAGTGAACAGTGGGTGGATGACCTGTCTCTTCACACGACGACTGACACCACTGTCATTCTCCGTGTTGTTCGTACCAGCCAGGATGTAACGTCCACCAGTGAACAAAGTACTGAAATCAGAATAATTTCCTTACTTATACGGTAAATAGGCATTAAGTCCGCCATTGTACATCTACAAAAAGTGTAAATAAATAAATAGCTAGACTTCGTATCATAAACACAAAGGTACCTCCATGATATGCAAGACTGATGAGTAGGTACAGTAGCATTGTCTTGCAAACACGTCGGTCTGACAATAACAGAACCTTATAAATAATGTCGCAGGTATCGTTTGGATTATTATGTAATGGATTGTATGGTAAAAGAGTTGCTTTTCATTAAATGTGGCACTGATCTTCTGACTGATTCTTGCTGGTACCTATCTATATTAGTAGGAAATAAAAAGGGCTCGCAAGATTTATTTCAAAACTAGCTACTTCCGCGCGGTTTCACACGCTCTGCCCAGCTGCTATTGGTCGTAGCGTGATTTTTTGTAGCCTATAGCCATCTTCGATAAATTGGCTATCCAAAACAAAAAGAATTATTCAAATCAGACTTGTATTTACGGAGATTAGCGCGTTCAAACAAACAAACAAAAAAACAAACTCTTCCGCTTTATATACCTAATAGTAAAAATAGTATAAGATGTTATGAAAACGTCTTTATCCTTTCCTTCAATTATCCCGACAATGATTATGTTTAAATTGAACTTGTTTATCAAAATGTATCTCAATTTAGTGGACGTTAGTTAAATAATTCATGGACAAATCAATCAATTCCATTGATGCAATTTTGTGCTTCCTAATTCCTCTATGAGAATAGTACCATCGGTTGTTGAGTTCCAGTTGAGAGCACATTTTAATACTAAACTTGATAGATAGACTGGATTTACCCAATATTGTGTGGTTGTTACGTTGTTACACTGAAGTGTTTATACTTTATAAAAGTTTTACAACTTTCAAGGTGAACAGTGGCTTCGTACGAGGTAGTAAAAAACAATATGACAAACAAAAATACATTTTGCAGAAGAAATAATAAACCAGTTTCCTAATCTTGGAAAATCGTTAATATTGCAATAATTATACCTATCCAATGCTAAAACTTACCTACGCATCTGCTGGGGGCCAACACGAAAGAGATAAATATTTAGATTGTTGACGTCAATAGGTAACTAATCGTGTGGCTCTTAAGGTGATAGCATTTGGTCAAAAACAGTGTCAATGTCGAATAATAACACGAGAACCAGATGCACGTTCACGTGTCAATTAAAAATATTATTGTATGTGGATACGGTTTCGGAATGCCTTCTGCATGTAAATTTACAGTACGCAGATAAGTTACCGTTACCTTATACCTATCACAATAAATTCAGGATGAATGTTCTGACATTCTACCAACAGACAAATTAAATATTTATCTACGTATGTCATTAGTTCAGTAGTATTATACTATTTTTATTAAAATATCTGTTCAATGTCATAGTTTCACGTGCCCTATCTGAGGTTATCTAGTGTCACGCTACAGTGATAATTACACTAAGTGTAAATTAAGGTCCACCCAATGTTATTGGTAAAGACTAAACGCTGAAACGGTCATGGATTTCAAACAATTTTTTTGTAATACACATATATTATGTACGTTCTAGTGATACGATACAATATCGAGTGTAGCACCTACAGATTAAAATAATATGCGTAGTAAGAATGGATTTTTTGTAATATAAGTAGCTAAATATCTGTCTGTGCATGACTAATAAAACAAAGTTATTGGAATTTATGACTTGTATTTCACCTCAATCTATAAGACGCAGGATGCAGGTATATCTTGTATTTTATTAACACGATTTAATAATAATTTATGACACTAAATAACCAAACCGGACTTATGCACTGTTATAGGAATGCACTTAAAGATAATAATATATTTATTCTTCATGTCAAATTATTAGATCTGCAATCCCAAACGCAAAAAAAAATCACATTTAAGTACCTAAGTTAAAGAAAATAAAGAAAGAATCGATGCTACGCCGTAGCACCCAACCGTATCTAGAACTTATCAGAAAAAAATAGATTACCTGTTCCAATACTAAAACGTTACTAATTTTAAATGGCAGTTAAATTCTTTCTTTTCTTTGTGGTTAGGAATGAGACCTAGATTTAGATTGATTCCTAATCTGTTATAGTATTTCTATTCTATTGTTCCTTTTTATTCGGAAAAAGAGTTCGTTCCCTTTGTGAGTTAAGAGATCTAGTCACGTATGTTGATTGTGTTGTTTATCGACAAATGTATTAATGCTAGTGGCTGTGTATAGTGGTATGCACGGAGTCAATATGACGAACACGGAAAACCCAACTGTTTTGTTATGCATGCGCGTGAGCCGACATACATCTTAATATCGCGTGGGCTGCATTCAACTAAAAGGAACCAGTTCAAAACCGTGCTTCACAAAGAATTTTATGGTAAGTACGTACATGTATCAAATCAAAGGTTGCAAATAAACAAATGCTGGCTTGTACCGTCTTGTTTACGACTTCTTTTGTGGAATTGCGATAACCCAGGAATTTAATAGTTGCCTATATGAAAATGTTTTAAGCAAAGTTTGAACCTTACATAAATAACTCTAAACAAAATTACTTCTTCTCTATATCTACAGATATTAGGTACCAACTTAAGACGTGACTAAGAAAACGTTTCTTTAAAATACCCGATAGCTATCAAGGATGTAGGTACAAATTTTGGTAATCCCAGTATAGATTGGTACCTATAGGCCAATGTTTTGAACGGGCAGTGGATATTTAAAAATATTAAACATCATTCACGACTTGATTTTTCCTTTAGTAGGTACATACGTCTTATATCAGTGAAATGATAAGAACAGGTCATTGTGGCGCAGAATATGGTGAAGGCTACTTCAGTCGCAGATTACGGTACATCAGAAGGCGAAGTAAACAGGAACATTGGGAGCATTACTTGTACCTACGTACAATAACCGTTGGAGGGCAGTATGAAGTCAGTGTTCAAGTTTATTTGTGCTAAATGTGTCTTTGTATCTTTTGATAGTAGAAAAATCTGTTAATCTAGTGGAAACTTTGGCAATCAATCAATTAATAACTTAGGTAAAGACTTATTTAGGTTGGCAGCGGTTAGTTCTTTTAGCATATCATACCTGTCTAGGCGTCTACTATATTATTACGATGTGATATTTCCACAAAAAACAAGACTAAGGGTAATTTGACTATAGGCAACTATAAATTGTTTGCTAATTGGCTATTACGTGATATCAAGTTTTTTTGGAGACGGGATATTTTATGATGCCAGCACGACTTGACGACGCCGAACACGACGTGATGAGTTTTTGTGTTTTACAAATTGTAATAAAGTTTAAACGACTTGAGTATTTTGTAATTCCTATTACTTAGATCCTTCTAAACAGTTTGAATTTGACGACTAAGACATTCATGATGAGGTACCTGGTATGGTATGTTTTGTGAAATAAATAAGAGTTAAGTTCTTACCAATGGCCAGCCGTGAGGATCCATGTTGGGCTGATGATGGTACCACCGCAGGTGCCTCCGAACAGCACTGCATGAGGGAACCTCTCATTTACTGGCTGTGGCCCGGGAGCACTCGCTTTTGGTACCGCTTCCGACTTTGTGGGCACATTGGCTGGAAACAGAGTAATGAGATATGAGAATATAAGTTTTGGACGGTTTATTATCTTCTTTGCGAATTATCTATCTATCTATCTATCTATCTATCTAAAGGGATATAGGTAGAAATATGTACCAACTACCACGAACTGTTTTATGTGGTCACCTCGGGGCTATTGTTATTATGTCTCGTATTGACATAATTATTTGTTGACCATGAGTTCATTGAACATTAACCTTAAAATACGAATATTCAAACTAATAAATGCGTAGCCCATAGGACAGGAAATAACTAGTATTTCCCTCACAATTGCAAATTATATTCATAAACATTGTAGAACGTCGATGAAATTACATCTCTAGTTCTATGCAGAAACTGGTGAAACAAAAACCTCTCACAAAAAGTAAACAATAACTTGTCCACGACGGACTATCGTCTGCTAATGTACTAATGCCATCTATTAGGGTAATTGTAATTACCACACACAGGTACACTGCAGCAACTACCTATAACATTGTCGAGATATCTTATCTCGTAGAAAAAACCACAAAGATTTCCCTACAATTAATAACAATGACGTGTTACTTGTAAATGAATGAGAACTCGATCGAAACAATTTGTTACTAATGTTACCATGTCCATGCGTCAGGCCAATTATATTACGTCAGCATTTACCTATATCCAAATAATTACGATCGTTTACAAAAATCGTACCTCATTTCCGTTAAGATTAAAGGCTATTTCAGGTTGTCGATGTATCATAGTGATGTGCCATCCTAATATCGATGGGAACTAATTTCGTTTCAGTTGATAGCTCTTGAATACAAGTAAATAACTAAATCAGTTTCATGGCAAAGGTCATTGAAGGTACTAAGTTAATAGTGTCCAGGCGTAACAATTAAGGGAAAACGTTACGCACCGGTTGTAACTTGTAATACATACGTAGGTACGTTATGTTATAAGCGTAGCGTAGCGTATTAGTAGGAAATTTGTTTTCTGCAGGTGAATTGAAACAAACAGTCATAGAGATGGCTTAAAAATACGTCGGTAGGTAGAGGAGAGACCGTAGAGATCACGGTGTGTGACAATAGGCCTGACGACACAAGTATACAAGTACCCAACTGATGAGAAGTGGATTTAATACGTAATTTCACTCCTAGTCAGATCTAAGAGGAAGAAGCTTATCGATGTTAGTATGGTACGACAACCATGTTAAAATGGAGCATTTTTACTCATTTGCCAATGACGTAGTTCTCAATCTATGTGTGTTAAATATTTAGACCGTTATCAGCTAGCTAACTACTTACCGTAGATATTATCCATCCCAAATGCGATAAGCGTAAGGATTAGTGCTGTTAAAAACAAAAACACACAAATGTGTTCTTTCCTAGGTATTTCCACGTTGACTTAATGATTAGTAAACTTTAAAGAAATTGGGTTTTTCGTTATAATTACCGGTGAATGAATTTGTGCATAGGTAGGTTTAAAAATTATAACCCGCGAAACGGAACCATGCTATTTTCTTTTTCTGATACCCAGGAACTGAGCGCAAGTTTAGAATAGAATAAGCAGTTCCTGAATTCATAAGCGACCATAAACAATCAAATGACCTCTTTAGATTATATTTATATGATGGTATACACAGGGACAACAACAACACTCGAATTCAATACCAGTATTCTAGTTTAGTGAATCAGTTAAGAGGGTATTGTTATATTTGAACTAGTTCATTCATAGGTACCGGTACTATGCGGTAACTATGCGGTATGTTGATAAATGACACTTGATGTTGATATTCACTGATTGGGTTTTATATGACTCTAACGACTATCCTACCTAAAAAAAAAACAAATATTTTTCATTTCCCAAAATATACTAAAGTATCATGTAAACATGTAATTCGCCTGTGTCAGGTATTCCCCTATTAAATAAATAGTTTAGGGTGAAGTAGTTACATTTACTTTCCGGCAATTAATACCATGTCACATCGCATCTACTGTTGCTAGAGGTGGTACAGCACAGATTAGTCACACATTCAAAGAATTACCAATTATTTCAAACAAGGGAAATCTGGAGTAACCGGGGTGAAGCATGTAGTGAATAAGTAGAGAAGAAGGAGAGGGATAAGAGGAATCAGATGCAGGTGAAGAGAAGGAACATGAAAACGGATTGAATTAAGTATGGGTGGCACGAACGTGCAATATTTGTGCTGAGCAGTGGCGTAACTACAGGGTGGCAAGTCGGCAAATGCTAAGGGCTCCCAGCCGATAGGGCTAAGGCCCCCGTCCAGAGGGTCGTGTCGTATCGAACTTCTCAGTTTTAATAGGCAAAGGGGGCCCGTCCGATGAATTTGCCATTGACTTCGAACAATATAGTTACGCCACTGGTGATAGGAATAGGAGATGGGAATGTATAGATCTGATATTTTGCCAAAAAACTCCAAGCAAAGCACAACGTATTTTCTTGTTCTTTGCCAAAAGTTTCTCTTACTTGGAGCAAGTCTATGTGTGAGTGGGGAGGTTAATGGTGTTCCAAATTGGCTACTAAGTACTGAGTTGCAGGCATAAAAACCCTGTGTTGAAAATGGCTAGATTTTTGCTCTCTGTGGTTCCAGTGCCAAACGCCACTTTAGCGCTTGTCTACAGAGAGAGTAGAAATCAAAATTTGGTTTTCTATTCTACATGTAGACAAGCGCTAAATGGTATTTGGCTACAACTGCTGCTTACACTAGGGACAAACGGTCAAAGACTTCGTGCTCAGCCATGTTTTCAATTTGCAAACACTAGATTAATTAATGAGGTATTAAAATTAAGCAGGTATCTTTTTGCTCAAAGATGTACTTTATTAATAAAGTTCAACCGATTAAATCCAATATTTTACAAAAAAAAAATAACGAAAAAAACAACTAATGGGCAGGATATTAATTCAAACAAGTTTCTCAATAGACTAAATTGTTTTTAGTTTAATTCATTCACAAATTGTTTTAATTAAAATACCTACCGGTTTTATATATTGTTTTTATTTGAGTCAGTCATGATCATTTGTTAACGGAACTGCTATAGTTACCTACATTATGTATTCTGAGCTGACAATCAGATGTAATTGTAGTTTTTATGTCCTCGGTATTATAATGACTACTATTACTTTACTACCATAATCATTGCGTTGTCCTCTGCCTAGCTATCGAACTTGTGTACCTAATCATATGTTTAGAAATCTAGACATTTTTTTTTGTTTTTACATTTGTCATGACCGCTCATACGGTCCTTGAAAGGCTAGAGACCACAGATATATTAAAGAAGACTTTTTTAATATTTCTGTGCTAGAGACAAACGTAGGAGTAGACAACTTCACTCTTAATTAAATAGCACTAAAGTTCTAACCAGTGCTATTTAGCAAAAAAATATAAAACGACCTAAACTAAAAATTATATTATTTAATAATCTAGTTTAGTTTGAGTTCAATTAAGATAACACAGAAGGATAAGCCTGAAGATAGAAATCAGTAAGAGGTTCTAAGTAGGTTTGTGGTCAACTATTAGGTATAGTTGAGCATAGACACGTATCATTAAATATTTTATCCAATTATTTAATTTTACTGAAGACATACGCAAGAGTTGAAATAACTAAACTGCCTCCTGAGATACAGGCAACGCCTAGTTCAGGAGACAGAGCTTGATGTATTTAGATTTTTGGAGTATTATATTAATTAATATACAACTCATACTGCACCACAAACAAACATTGGTAGTTTAAAATTGTAGGCGAGGTTTGTAGGAAAAGTTGTAGTATTAGCAAAAAATGGAATAATAGTTTATTACAAGTTGTTTATCTTTACGGTAATTCTCAAGTCATTATAACCGGTAACGCAATAATCACGTTTACGTTATGTTACATTAATTAGTACTGTGATGTTATTGAAAAATAGTACAATGTGAGAACATTATTAATATTGAAATCTGAGGAGTACATTGCTATGGTTAGTTTTGCTGCATTTACTGTAATTTTACACAAATCATGGAAGCAAAATATTATATTTTATTTATTAGCTACCCTCTTAGTTTTATTTATTTTATTTGTTCTTAAAAAGTAAGAATTTAATTTCTAGAACTGGTCTGATAATAAATCGACCATTTCTCAAATAATACTTACAACGTTATATTTCAGTCACAACTTACAATTGTATGGCGCAGTCGGACTAATATTAAGCATTAATTGAAAAAATAATAAAACACTGTTATTAATACAATACTGCATGTTTCACAAATTATTATAAAAACAACAACACACTCACTTTGATAATACAATTGTTGTATAGTTTTAATGGAAAAGAAAAGAAAAGAAAAGCTACGTAATATCGTATTTTATCGAATGATATCTTAATCTAACAAATCAAGACTTACATTTTTATCGAACGTTTTTCATTTGTCGTTAATTTATCTAGCAAAATAAGGCGGGTTATATGAAACTTAAACTGTTGTTTTCATTAAAATTAAGTAAAATACACCTTACCTGCACACCACAACAAAAACTACCTACTGTATCACTTTTTTACATAATAATCACACAGTTTTTGGCACAAATTATTTCTCAAAACATATATTTTAATAAATAAAGGTTGTTATATGACACTCACGTGCTTTTGTGATTTTTTGTATGTCGTTTCCTCCCGGCGCGGCGGTTGTGACCGCAAGGAGTGCAAGCGCAGCGCACACAATCGACTTGCTTGCGAACATGATGGAGTTTTGATGTGTACGCGCAGTCGCCGCACTTTATATGAATCGTTAGTTACTCCACGACCGAGGACTGACGCAGCGTTATCATTAGTAGCACCATTATGACCGATATCTGTTCTTGTTTATGCCTCAAGATTTGGGCTACTGGACTACTGGAACATTTTTTTTACCTAACAACCTTCAATGTTTTATGAAGGCTACATGGTAACCTCTAAGTTACGGCATCTGGGATCATTCTGGAATACTATTTCACTTAAGTTGGATTTTTTTTTACTTGGAAAGAATAACCCTAATAACGGTGATATGTCTGTTATACCCCGAAGAGTGTATTATGTAGATATAGTGTATTGTATAGATAGACGGCCAAAGGTGTATTTAAAAAACTCCTATTTTAGTGAACCTAGATAAACTTTTCTTTCAGGATAAGGCCTAAGAAATTAGGGCTACGGACTACAGACTACAGGATCACCTGGCACAGATCAATGACCTTTTTTATTTTATGGAAGAATAATTTCATTATCGTTGCTGATAAAGACGCCACTGCTGGACATCTCTCCCAATGACTTCTAGATTAGTTGGAAGAGATGCATTTGCATCCAACGGCTACCTGTGACATGTGTCAGGTGAATGATTGTGAATGGCGTAAACTATCAAACCCTGTCGGTCACCGGTGACCGCAACCTATTGTTCTTTAATTGTGTCTATAATGACGGTACTCTAAGTAATAATTCATCATGGACTAATTAACTATGTATTACCACAGGGTGCTACGATAAGTATTAGCTCGTAATATTTATCGTAGCACCCTGTGGTAATAATTTTGTCTATTATTGCAGTAGTTGGAAGTTCCTGTTGATTTAAAGTTTCACTGCTTCACTGGATGCTGATTGTTTCAGATCAAAATTTTCGTTCGCTAATTTTATAAGATCAATATATGTATATGTTTCTGAAGTATGAATTGAGTTTGAAGTGTTTGATGACACCAATAACGTTGATATCAAAATGACTCTATCTGAATGAAATAAAAGTGGTTATGAATAATACTAAATACAAAGGGCTATGAAATTCTCGCGTCATCTTTGTAAATAGTTACGTGGTCATAAAAACTCGTAAACTTATTCATAAAGTACACAGGATCTGTTGTTTTTCATGATTTTCCTTTAAACAGATTACTAAAGACAACAAACAGTTCGTTTACTAGAATTTATTATCTGATTCACAATATCTACAAACTTTAGTAGGTTTTTAATTACATTCTAATTTTAAACATAAACCTAGTATAGTTCATTTCGGAGAACTATGATGCATTGTTTATTTTCGAATGTAAGATTCAAGTTGCTATGATTGGAAATGATTTGAGATGAACCTTGCCAGACATTGGCTTCTGTATCTGCGCGATATTATATCAAGAAAATTCTTATCGAAAAGATCCTTTGATTACACCAGAGTTTAAACAAAGGAGTTCATCACTTGACATTTGGTCAAGTGATGAACTCCTTTGTGGTCAGTCAAAAAGAATGAAATATTCTTCATGATAACAGTGATAATAAAAACTGTTGACAGTGTAAACTATTCTTAACGTTATCATATTTCACAGTACACTATGTAAGACAAAAACCCACTGAAAGCGCAAACTATTCTTTCCCCTCAAATTATTTATTTCGTTTTTGATTTTTTACGTCGTGGTGTCAAAGAAAGTTTTTATGTTCCTGGAATGCATCGGGCTTCATTGTTTCGGTGTGTTTTACCTGACGGTGGGAAGAGTAGAATTCTTGATTGGTTGTTTTTGTAGAACTTGGCTTACAGGAGGTGCAGTGGTTGGGAATATGTCATCAACTTATTACAAAAAATTGCTCTTCATTTAGTATTCTATCTACTGTTTATAGGCGTATTCATTAGTTTTTACAATATATATAATAAAGAAGACTAAAATGGCCAATACAAGATAATTCCAACACATTAGTAGGTAATGGTATTAGTTATCATTATGAGGTCATTAATGAGGAAATGTCAACAAAAGTCCGTAAAAGACTTTTATAGCTTCAAAAATAGTCTACAGCAATTAAGACCCGCTCCATGTTAATTTAGTGAACAGGTGTGTAATTATTATTATTGTAGAACTTTTGAGAGACATACCATGCCACCTTCGGTACGTGTATGGTTTGGACCCGAACAGGTAAAGCTAAGGAATACCATCTTGCTCTTATTTTACGGCACTATTGATGAGCTAAGGTCCTATGTCTCAATATCTGGTTGTCCATCCAATCGTTCGTTATTAGCCTACTGGTCAAGAAACCCCACTTATCCTGACCTGACTAATTACATGACCAGATAGTGAGGAGCTAACTACATCTAGTTACATGTGACCTCATTGGAAAATACAGTGTGGATGATGCAGAAGTAGTAAAACTATATAATGGATAATAAGGGATCTCTGACGTCATGAAACTGACGAAAATCTTCACCTTGCCATTGCATTTTGTTTGAATAGATAATACTTAATCAGATGCGGGCATACTGAGTATTATTGAGTTTTGTCATCATATACAAAGTACGACTATTTATATTTGTAGGAAGATAAATATGTTCCGTCTCTTTGTTGCATTATTATATAAAGAAAATCTATCTAGATACTATTGGAAAATATGGGGGTGTTTATCTTTATCTTGTTTCTAAATATATTGTTTCTTCTTAAAGTGTTCTGTTTCCGAGTTCTGACTAACAACAAAAAAACATAATGGTACACTTTAAAATTAACTACTTAATTAATTGTGTTTATTGAACGTCGTTAAGATTATACCCGTACCAAGAAGTAGACTATGCATTTTACATGTAAGTACTGACAGACAGTAATTTTTGTACTGTTCTGGCAAGTTCACGGAATATCTACTTACTATAAAGTCCGACTGCCTCGTGGCCTCGTTGGCCGAGTGGTCGCAAGTGCGACTGCCGGGCAAGGGGTCTCGGGTTCGATTCTCGGGTCGAGCAAAGTATTACCTACTGGGTTTTAAAAAAATCTCAGTAGTAGCACGGAGTCTGGAATTGTACCCGGTATATGGTAATAGGCCCACCCCCTATTAAATGGGACTAATAGCATAAATAGTGAAAAGTGGGTGTTAGTTCTGTGTGCAGCTCTGCCTACCCCTTCGGGGATAAAAGGCGTGATGTTATGTTATGAAGTTCGTAACCCCCTGAACGTCTCCTAGAAGCTAGGTGTCTCTGTTCATCACTGCTCCTCATCTCTTGTTTTAGTTGGCTATCGAATGTTGATGAGGACAGATCTTCCATTGAATTGCCTTTACTAGCCAATTTGTTTCTCTCATCATCATATAAACATTTAGATTGTTGTATGTAGGTGTCTACATATAAGATACATTTACATTTTGTACAGATCATTAGGTAAGCTTTAATCGGAAAACTGAGAAAGTCAAAAATCAAATCAAATCAAATCAAATGGTACCGATCGAACACCTGTCAATAACATGTCAGATATTTAAATTTATTCATAGCTATATAGGTACGTATGTATACATATTATATTATTTTACTATTTATATTTATGTGTAGACACTATTGCGGATCACGGAATATAGTATGAGTAAATTATAAATGTATTAGTTTGGCGACACCGGTTCTGGCAGAAATATTGTTTCAAGCTACTTCCATTGTATTCTATATTCCGTGTTGCGGATAATAATAGTCAATTGTTACAAATAACAGGTTTATGTTAGTCCAAACTTGAATATATTTATCATGGTATATTAATTTAAAATACAATAACGAGGACACATTTTTTGTAAAAATATATAACAACAAAAATATATACAAATAAATAATCATCGACTATATTTATAGTATAATGATACGAAGTTACGTAAGTAAGCAGTATCTAAATGTTTTATGTATATGGCACGCATTGAATATGCCATAAAATTAGTTTTTTCTTAGTATGATTCACTTTATTAGAAGAAGTATCTAATATTAAAATGTATATTAGTATTTACTTATTTTATTTATCTTATATCTTTACCTCAAAACTGCAATAGTTGCTAGGGAAAAACCTCTGACATAAATGATAACATTCAGCCTTTACAAGAAAACTGAATTGTATCGGGTTTTTAACAATTAATAAATGCTTCGAAGAATTATTGTTTTTATACTTAACCAGAAAACTGTATTATGTAACTTAATGTATGTCCTCTACAACTGACCATATCACGAGGGAAGAGCATCCTTATTTTTTTTGTGATCTAGCTGTGGTCTACAAGTCTTCTGCCGAGCGTGAGGATTATGGCAACACCCCTTTACAAGCCTCTGGCAGTATGTAAGTAACACTATGTTAAATAATTTAATTGTTTCGTCAGGTGTAGCTTATTATACGCACCTTGTGGAATCTAGAACAAATTTCCGTGCGTTTAGGCGCTTTTGCCATAGGTACCTATTATTGGAAGCAAGTATAACAGCTCAGCAAAGGACCCACTTAGATTTTGGTCAAATTTCCGTGGTGCTTGGCGACTGGGCTTCACCCAGTTGTACAGTCTCTTTTTTGTGCCTTTAGGCTTAATTAATTCTGTCTCCTGCAGTAATTCACCGAGGGAAGTGGAAACTATCGTTTTTTTCTTCTCCTCTTATTATATCTTCTGATTCACTTTGTTGCGGGAACCACGACTGTTATTCATGTCCCTGGGACGCGCCGGACTTCAGTGTTCCGGAGTGTTCATGATTGTATCTACTGTAGATCCTGGCTTACAGGAGTTGCGGTTTTGGGAGGTTTTGGAGGGCTTGTCGCATAAAAAAATCCTTTACTTAAGAAAAAACATGTTTTTTTAAATAATTAGGTACAAACAGGTGTATCTAAGTGTGATATTTTTTTATTTACGACAGTAACCCAGAAAGGCGCCTAGCCTTTTGAGAAAAAAGACTCTAAGTCTTTTTCCTTCTAAACATTCAGAGTACAACCCCTATACTCCTTAAAGTGTGCCACCATCTGCACTTGAAAGAGACATCGGGCCCTCGTGGTAAATCAAACCCGGAGCCCACTTTTGAGTGGGGAAACTCATCCAATGACTACTCCCGCCCGTGTAAGACGAGAGGGAGTGTCTGACTCTTACTGACTAAGAACCACCACGTTCCTACTCCTGCACTTCGAGTCAGAGCACTGGCAACTCGTTAAGAAGCTCGTGAGGAGGTTCGTTTCCTTACGCACTCCACTTCCTCCTTAGCTAACTCGACTACTTCGCAGAAGGAGGAGATGACATCCCTGTCCCCCTCGCTCCGTACCATGGTCTGAACCAGAGCTGGACGCGAGTGGTCGCCGTCGCCGATCACATCCCTGAAGACATGTCGGCGGTGCTCAGCCCACGCAGGGCACACACCACACCAGGCACACCGCCACAGTATGCTCCAGGGTGAGCGTCTAGGTTCTCTACTCCATGCGTCCATGATGAGTTAAACACCTAAGTAGGTGTTATTAGTAGTTGGCCTTTCCAAGAGGTATCCAGTTTCCTTACTATTTCCTATACTTATTCAGTTTATACCTAAATAAACACCTATATTGTATGTATAATTGTTGTGGTTTACCTAAATGCGGGCAAGTACGGCACGTACGTCAGTATCAATATTATCTGTAACCCTACATAGTATGCTTCATCGTTTCCAGTAAGTTCCTTATACTGGTGGCCTTTTGTTCCGAAATAGGGTTTTGTTACCAAACTGCAAGAACCAAACTTTTCATAACACCTACGGTAGCCTACAAGTTTGCGAGTCGTCTGATGGTAAACGTTACAGTAGCCTATCAACAACACTAGAGGCATCGAGATACATTCGTCATTATGATAAAGTTAGACAAAACATTGTATTTATCAAGTTGAAGTGGCGGTGTTATATATTAGCCATAACACTCGGCACTCCCTTTTTCCTTAGAAAAGCAAAATGCTCATTAATGATTTACGATTTGCAAGGGTATGACGTCGATGGTTTTACCTGATCTGCGATCCAAAACTTCTTATTCGATAGTACGTCATTACATTCGTTGTATCTATACTCGACAATCACACTTGCGATCATTCGACAAATGAGTCTGAGGGTCCAGTACGAGTTTGTTTTACGTTGAGTTCAGAGTGTTACCGCGGTTACCCCTCTAATTGGTTAGTTGATTGGAGCAGGCTAATCAGAGGCCTTAGCAGTGGCGGCTGGCGGGTTATCGCACTGGTGGTCTTACACTTTACTAAATTATTAAAATGAGAAAATGCAACAAAACAAAAATTCACATAATATATGTTTTATAGCTACATTAAATCAATGCGACGACATTTTTCTGAAACGAAATGTTTAATCACCTTTTTATTAAAATCGAGTATTGTTTGTATGAATTTATTTTCAATACAACAATAATTAGCGTGTCACACATATAGTGAAACTCGTGTGATAGTCTGATAACGAGATGTCAATCATAACTACCGTCGCCTCGCGCCCATGCCGGCCGGCCAATTCGTCAAACATCGGGTGCATAATTGGACATTTGAAATTTTATACGTTTTGGTATGTTTAAAAATAAATATTAAAATTGTAATATAAAAATAAAGATGAAATAGGTACTTCATATTTTGTAATTTTTTAATCTTTTGCATTGGCAAAAGATCCACCAAAAACCACCAATCTCGTGTGCTGAACCACATTGGTCATTGGACAGCCGCCACTGACTTAGATAAAACGAATCAAAGTTTAGGATGCCATTTTAGATATAGTATACGTAAGAAAATAAAAAAAGACGTGCGTATTGTTTTTAAATAATCTACCAGACGGACATTCAAATAAAAACTAGTCATCTACCCTATTAGAGCGCCGAACGCGGACTCGTACGAACTCGTACTAATCTGTTTACAAAACAGAAAAAATAATATAAAATAAAGCAATACTTAATATATTGTTGGCTGGTGGTAGCTTTGTGGTCGGTATTATCCCATTTTGAGTTGACACTCTACGAACACCGGTCATATAACTTTTTTAAAAGGAAAAATATAATTCCTTATCCTGTTTCATTACTCGAGTGGGAAGTACGACAGGGTCTTGGTTTTGATCCTTGAGTTGGGTGAAGTGTTTTTGGGTTTGTCCCTTTTGCAAACGGGTCATAATATAACTCGCAAAAAGTACTCGTGTAATGCAAGTACACCATTAACTACACTTCTGAAAATAACAAGCATTTTGAATACTACGGGGCTAACGGGGCTGGTATAATAGATTATGTCGTTTCTTTTTAATGTCGTCGTGAAGGCAAAACTTTCCTGTATCGTGAGTGTGTTTAATAACACAATATCACACATAGACGGCACGTTGCGCAGAACCTTGTTGTTCAGGCAGTTCCATTGCGCCAACCAGGGAGTTAAAAGTCAGACAACTACCTCGCTGAGGTTAATGTATAAGTATGATAGGAGTAGTGGTCGATGGTGATACGATGAACAGCCATAAATTGTTCTTAATTCGATGTATATGAGTTTAAAGCAGTTTCTATAGAATCGATACTGACGCTGATTATGGGTATTTCCTAATTAGCTGCATAATGCATCCTTCAGTGAGCGAAATAACTTTTCCTAAATGTCAAGATTTAACTCTCGGTCGTTGTGCATAAAAAGTTTCTCGAAAAGGAAGGGAAAAAACGTTATAGTACGCTACCTTTTTTTTCCCTTGTATATACCTCACACTTCGGTAGGGCCTAATCGATATCGAGCATCATCGCTGACTCGATACTAAAGAGACAGATTTGGGATGTATTATTTTCATAAAAGTAAGGGATTAAATGTTTATTTTAAGTAATAATAGTTGTAATCAACTGCTCAAGGTTGATGTTAAATAAAACGAAAACAATAACTATTAAAATTATAAAAGCAATTTCTTTTTGCCAGTGTTTCGGGCAATAACTTATTGTTAATGTTCACAATAAATTTGAATAAATTATTTATACATACACACTCCTTTGATTAATATGATAATAATAAGTACTATATATAATTATTTTGTCGTTTGCCGTCCTTTACCTGCCACAGGAAACTTAATATAACCTGTTAAGGGTCGATTTATCCAACGCAGATAAATCTTAACTGAGAATTAACTTTGAATATTTGACAATTCTTCCATACTAAAAACTGTCAAATGTTAATTTTATTCTATAGTTAAGAATTAACTGATGATTTGAAAAATCGGCCCTTAAGTGCAAGCAACTAATATCGTCGGTCCAGATTAGTTACAGAATCATGAATTGAATTTTACTACATCTAAGGATTTACATAGTCAAGAAAATAACTGTATGTCCAGTATATGTATATGTGTCTCTGCAATAAATATGACAACTTGTGATAAAAATATAAAGAGTGACAAGGTCACGATATCTCATTGAAGCAAAGACAAGTCCCTGAAGTGGGTTACAAAAACATTTATTTGACCTCTATTCCTTATCTAGTTTGCCAAAAATTTCGGCAAATTCATTCAGTACAATATCGACTTTAAACTAAAACACTAGAGTTGAAATTGTGTTCATGAAATTTGATAAATTGGAATACCTTGATGTGCTTGCATCTGAATAAGACCACTAAGACCTTGAAAAATCTGATATATGACGTGTACATAGTTATTTTTAGAGGAACATAAATAAATATATCGTGCTTGTTAGCCCCAACCGGAAAATAATAGTGTTTAGTATAATTACTCCAATTTATTATCAAATTTAATTATTACCTTATGGAGGATAAAGTTGTTTAATTAACAAATAATCTTATTTCCTGGCAACCGACTAATAATGTCTGAGATCGAACTCGATACGTAGTGCTTTAGTAGCCCTTTAGTTACTCAACTTGTAGCTTCTTAGGGTGTATCTGTATAATAAAACACAAGGATTGAATTCAAATAAACTTTAATAATCTCTTCAACGTCTACAGCTTGAGAATTTTGACCAATAATATAATCATCAATTACTATGAATAATTTCAAGATAAGTGCAAATACGCGCAACGTCCGTTGTCACAAAGTAACCTCGTAAACAATCATAATAATTATGTTATGTAGTATTAAATACTGTCATATTGCTCATTAGTATCACCTACCGACGATAACTCTTACAAATTAACGTGACATTATTTTCTTAGTTTCCTACAAAATCAGGAATGTCCAACGTCTCTATAGGTACGACTACTAAATTATTGAATAACTTAATTTAGAGGGTGATAAATTATTGCATCGTTAATTTACTAAATTATTTATTTATAAATAATAACACAGGGCGACGAGTGCCCAGCTGTCTGCTGTCCACTCGCGGAGCTATGGATGTAAAGCTTCTCCTCCCAGTCACTCCGACTCCCTATCACCTCGGAAAGCTACGTGCAACTATCTCCGACTGTCACCTCCTTAGCACAGCCTCCATTACTCACAGTGTACACCTAATTAATCCTTAAATAGTTATTTCAACGGCTGACGCCATAACTCGCCTAAATAACTATTCATAAAACGTGATTCCAATAGTCATTATGATTTTGTGTAAATAATTGATATTTAGGCAAGTAAACAGTTACAAATTATACAAGTATCTAATATTAATATGTCAAATATTCAACAAACTCATTTGATTGCTAAGATAAAATAACACCTCTGTTATACGACTATACACTCCATTTTCCAATAATTTAACCTCTTCGAATATAATTGCATTAATCAGTAGTCTTGTCTTCCAGCGTTACTCATGGACCTATGCCTGTGGAGTGTAGAAGTCGTAGAAATCAATTCATTTAAAAATATTCGTGAAGTCTTTTCTACTCTTTTGTCGTTTTTGGTGTAATTTCACAGAAAAATAAACTTTTGTGGTATTGTAATTGTAAATATGTGTCTAGTTGAAATATCGTACTCCAAAAATATAAATTAAAGTACTCATTATATTCGGTTGCAAAATATGGCAGGGTACGTGTGTCTGTCGAGGGTGTGTAGACGCAGGCGGAACTACCGCCGCCGTCGCCATTCGGACACGCTCAGGAGACAACGGAAGTGTCTCGTCGACAACCACTAGTAAAAAACTTCAAGTACACTTCGTTTCGTCTAAAACACTACTTCGTTTAATAAATAATTAATTAGAACAAAGAACTTTGACAAAAGTAGAACATTAAAGCCATCAAAAAGATGCGTTAAAAATTTTCATCAACAATAAGTTATTGTGTAAAAATTGTATGCATTCGTTTCGTGTTGAACATTTACTCGACTACTTTTGTCAAATTTCGTAACAATTGTCGTGTATTTATTGCTCGTAAACTACCTAACTACCGTCGCTACGTTTACACTAGGTCATTAAACTAACAAACTGACTCTAAGAGAGGTCGTGGAAGAGAATATATCTCAACTTGACTCGCGATGCCTTTGTATACAAGCGGCAAAGCACACAACACCGAGAATATAAAAATATAGCAACAATTGGTCACCGATAGATACAGGAGTTTACTAGTAACAACAAAACTCAATACTTACATAGCCAGGGACGAGATGAAGGAGATACAAATATTTAGCAGAGATATAAAAGTTTCAGCAAAAGACAATAATTGTTCAACTTTTACTTTCAGGTTTGTAATATCAAAGGGACTAATAATTCAAAATAACAATTAGCTATTTACAAATTCTTGTAGCCTAGACTCAAGTTTTATCCTCAACACAAATTTAGTTATTGATATATATTTACTTTTTCCTCAAACAACTTTTTTTTTAATCCACGAAAGACCGACTAAGAACATGTTTTAAAGGGCACTTGTATTAAATCGTTTGTAAACAAGTGGACTGAGATTCACTATCTGTAAAGGTGACAGGTTAAACAAAAGTGATGTTCTCAACAAATAACGATTCATTAATTATATGTTCATTCGTATTAAATGTGACTAGTTCTGTCCAATAAAAACACACACATAACTAAAATATAGATACTGTCATTTATTATCTGATATTTTTGTTTTATGTAATATGTAGCCAATTAGTTTCGAACTTAAAGTTCTGGCAATCATATTTTGATTCATCTTAGAATAAATAAATAAAATAATACTTTTCAAGGTTAAAGTTATTAGAATTGTGATAGTGAATCCTATTCTCAATATTATAAACTGGTTTCAATAAATCAATGGTTTACAGTTTACAATAGTTTGTCAATGGTTACTTGCAGTTTTATTAAGTAACTGATTTTTGAGTGTTTAATTTTTGTCTTGTTTCAGGACCTTTTATGAATAATTCAATTTTCCTAATTTGATATGTTTAACAAATAAATTGACCAAATGTTTAAAACATTGACTCATGTTGATTGTCAATAATGTTGAATATCAACTTTTAACTGTATTTCAAGACGTCACTGGCGTCCACGACAATTTTTATTATTTCTAAACCCAAAAGCAGTAATCACAAGGTTGAGAAAATTACCTATACAATAATAATAATCATGTAATAATTTAACTATAAAATTCCGCTAAGTATTGATCACATTTTTGGCAAATATTCAATGCACAATTGTTTTCACATTTACATTTTCAAGGACGAAAAGAAGTGAGTTAGATATTTGAGTTATAAATATTTGTTATAGATAAGTAGAATTTTGATAGAAATACATAAAAAGTAGATTTAGATTGAAAGAACGGTGTGGGGGTAACTGAGAGTGGAATGCCTTATATTTATGCGCTAAAGTACCATAGTGTAAGTATTGACTAGCAGGAGTGAACCACTTAAACGTGTAGATGGCTACTTCTTGAAAATTAAGCAGGTGGAGAAATTTATTTAAAGCTAGTGTTAATATTGCACCCCACTCTCAGCAACCCTGTCCTGTCTCGTCTATCTCTCAGCAAAGTCACAATCTTCGCGAATTTAAAAGCGAGTATGCAAATACAACTCCTTAAACCTAGTCTATAAAAACGTGTTATAATCCAATATAATAATTTAACTATTCTCGTAAGCTTACTAAGATTCTTGAAGTGTTCGTTTCATTAAAATAACTGTTACGTTCGATAACTTATCGCACTAATTATTATAACTATTAATAACTGATCTAGTGTAGTTACCTAGTTATTGTTAAATGGTTTCCGTCCATCTTGTGGTACATTACGGGTACTCTCTGTCTCCAACCATAATGACGTCTCGTTTTAATTTAATACTATATTATGTGTAGGCCGCAATATTGTCAACTAACGAGTACGACTTCATTCTGCTATCAACGTTGTTTTTAACACGATTGCTTTACCTCTATTTTGTAAAACAGTCAGATGCTCTAATAACGTAGTTTCAACAAAAAAAAACAGTTGGTACATTTTATCAGATTGTTCTTGTATGGTAAAAGTTTTATGTGTGCTCTTTTTCAAAATTGCCATATGGTCCGTACTAGAAGCCCCATTGTCTAAGGCGATGACATAAAACTGCATGGTTTAATTTACTTTGGGATCGATTAGCAAGACATATTGCAACTGCCATGTTTTGTTTTCTGAGAAGGCACTTTGACAATTTCAAACTGTTTTGATTGCAATATTTAATGTTCTTGTAGTGACACGAAATCTGACTGCGATACAAAATACGTGCTATTGAATACGTATCGTTTAAAGTTAGTTCGAAGTAAATCTTCATCAGATTTAATGAAGATTGGACGTGCTGTCAACTATGACAAATTACAATGCTTTCTTCGCAAATCAGGTTTCGAACAACATTAACATATAATGTTGTATAGCAGTGTACCAGATAAACTGGGTGAATATTAGTATTTTGTTTGTCTTTTGTGTTCACTGTTTTTTAAAGCAGGTGCATTGTTGGTGAGGCGATATTATAACAATATTTGTCTCTCCTGTATAAATGCTTAGTTATATTATGTGAGCATCGTTATAGCAGGTGTAGATATGTTAGCATACGAATGTCTGACACTAGTCCAGCGTAACGTCGTCAGTGGCATCACGCTAATTAAGTACTACATTATTGACTAAGCTACAGCCGATTCCATAAGACCAAATGATAACTATATTAATAGGAAGATTTCTTGCACATCTTATTTTGGCATCTAATCGTCTTGTCAGATGTCCAAGTATCTAAAACTAACGTGCTCCTGGAACAATTTTCCTTCATGGAAAATAACTTATTATTGTTTCACGAAGACATTTGGAGGACCACGCTTAATACTTTATCTTTCTAAACTCGACCTTAACGCAAGAGTTCGGAAGACTGACTTTTATTTAATAAACACTGTGTTATATTGCAACTTACGAGATTTTAAGACTTCCTAATTATTTGTTTCGAGCCAAGTTCTATAAGTTGAAATGAAAAAAATTGCTTTGGGCGTTTATTTTGTTATACACTGGGATCGACATCACATTGTAGATTATTTATATTAGTGGATGATTAATTTATGCTTACAAAGTATTTATACGTAGGTATAATATTATATTGTACCAATGTATTTAGCTTCTTGTAAAAGTACTTCCTTGTTCAGTTTTGCCAGTGTTTTAGTTGTTATTATTCCAGTCACTGTAGCCAATAAGTAATAAGTAATTTTCAAATAATAAAAGTGAGTTCGCGATATCTTCATTTCTCGAGTAATCAATCAATAGTTGGCTCCTTTGGTCTTACGATTCTAAAATGATAGTAGTCCAAGTCCGAATAGCGAGTTAGGAAGCCTTAAGTTAGCGTGCATGAGTTGAGTAGAAGTGAGTAAAGTTGAGTAGACGGAGGCGATGTGTGGACGCGGGTTGACGCGGCAAAGGACGCGAGTTGATGCGGCGAGGCGTGCGCTGAGCGTCAGAGAGTGCGCAGCGGTGCGCGGCAGTCGACGCGCGACATCCATTCTATGTCGCGCGTTGTAACCTGGAAACAGTTTGTAGCGATTTGAGATAACGTTTCTTTATTTCAATTATTTTGAATGTGGTTTCTATCAATGTTATCATGAAATTAAATGGAAAGTTTTCTATGTAATCGTCTATCATCGAAGAAGAATAATGATGGTACAGTGAACCTGGCTGGTAAAGTAATGTGCTCTTTGCTCACCTGGTGCATGGAATAGACGGCCAGCACGACGAGCACGTGCATGATGTTGTGCGAGTTGAGGCAGCGGTCCACCGTGCCTGGGAACCACTTCTCCGGTATATGCATGGCACCGATCACACCGCCACCCAGGGATACTGCATCCTGCAATATTTCAATGGTTTATTAGTACCAAAATCTATGTTATATAAATATTAATCGCAAAACTCTGGGTGACTGGATTTTTAATATTTCTTTGTTCTCCGGGAAAGTTGTAAGACAAAACCCATACAAAGCCCAGGGCAGGCCTCTTATAAGATTTGAAGGGTGTTTGTATACTACAACGAAAATTTCATGAGTTTTCTGATAGAGGCACTTGTGTAGAATTTCATGTTAATATAATACTCCATATTTCTTGTATGATTATCACATCTCGCAAATCGAGATCTTTGGTCTAAACCATTATGATTTATTTAATTTTATGTATTTATACCTGTACATAAACAAACAATGGCGACTATACATCCATTTTTATATTTAATATGCTATTTGCCTTAAGGAAAACGGTAATACACGTGCGAAGAATAACTATAACATATGACGTCTGTGTGTATGATGTAAATTCTAGGAAAACATATTTTTAATTTGATTTATCTGATGCACCAGCACGCTCCATGTGCCTCATTAAATTAGTGGAAAAAGTTGAACAAACAAATAATATTGTTAACAATAATTATGATAAGTATTAATACTAAAAGTTAACATCATGACTTTTACTTCAGAATGCAGGTTGGAACGATGGTTTGCAATTTTCGCAGGTCCATGTTTAGTGACTTTATCTGAAACCCTCTTCTAATTCAAAATGAAGTAGCACCAAATATTATTTCTGCGTCCACAAACTACGGCTTTGATGTACCTAATGCCTCTAACTTCATTAATATTAGTTAGCCGAGGGCCGGAGTAAGTTAATTGTGCATCTTCATAAGTGAAGCCCTGCAGGGTTGTGTGTCGTCCACAGTCGGGCACACTCGGGCAAAGTCGGGCAGTGTCGGGCAGGTCTCATTTGGACCTAACGAGCTATGTAATCGGTTTACGCACACTGATCCTATTAGAGCGGAGCTGTCATCATAAGGGATTGTTTGTTTATTATTTATGGAAAATTTATGTCATATTACTACTGCCTAGTTTTGTATCCATAGGGTCATTATGTAACGGGTCTTTACGTATGTGTAAAGAGAGTGTATCAACAACATTTTCTTTTGGGTATTCTTGTATGATATGTTGGGTTGGTAAAGTGCGTTAGTAGTACCATAGAAATGATTACTGAAAAGTTGTAGTCATAGTTTTATCTACATAGTTTTATGTTTTATATGTATTTTAAATATAACCAGAAGATTTTCGATTTCATCTTCTCTCTTGGTTTTATTACTAAAGCCAAGAAACTCGTTACGGATTATGGAGCTGGCTGAGAGCCAGAGAGCGTAATAATCTAGCGGCTGCAAGGGGGTCAACGGATATAGGTACGCTAGAAAAATACTAAGAGACCTGAGCCTTACCTACATCTTGCTTGAGTTTTATACAAGTCTACAATATAGACGTACTATTCACTAAATCGTTTTTAAATGTAACGTAATAGTTCCCACATTGGGGTAACACATTGAAGTATATTGTACTGAAGGAAACCAGAGGTGCGCATATTAAATATTGATGTAAACCCTTTTCGGTGGACTAACCAGGAGGTAATTTTCCATTCCATCAGGCAATACCAGATCCTGTGCTATCACTAAAAATTTCTAAATACAGTGACACTGCTAGAGTAAGGAACCGGACCTAAGACCCCTTGTGGAAGTCGCATTCGCAACCATTCAATTAATGACAACCACTACCTTAATATATAAGACTAGCTACTTCCGCGCGGTTTCACACGCTCTCCTCAGCTCCTGTTGATGTTTAGCCTATAGCCATGCTCGATAAATGCGCTATCCAACACAAAAAGAATTATTCAAATCAGACTTGTAGTTACGGAGATTAGCGCGTTCAAACAAAAAAACATTTTTCCGCTTTATATTATAGTATAAGAGTATAAGATATAAGATACTAAGTCCCGACGATGTAGTTAAATGACTCACTTTTAAAATAATCCATATCGCTACATTTGTGGGAAACGTTTATTTAAATGTACATATTACGCGTGATAAGGTAAATTGAGAAACATAACCGCAAGGAAGTTGCCTTTTAACTTATCCGTGGAAATTCTTTTAAGGTTTTTTTTCTCATTAGACGGGTAGTGACTAACATTGGGAATTTAGTAATTAAGCTCTTCAGTACAAGTTAATCGATGTACAAGTGAAACGAGTGAATTTATTTTTGCAAATAGGCTACAAAGCAGCACTCTTACACGTCAGGTACATTTTTCACTATAATAGGTATTTACTACACTAATGAGGACTATACTAATGATGCTTTGTAGTGTCATTGAGAACAAATTTAAATTTCGTGTTATTATAGAAAGTTTTAGAACTAAGTAAGTTGTATTCCTTTGCCCATTTCTATAGCGCACCAAAAATTCAGAAGTCCTCATAAAAAATCTTATGAAGCCCATAGAAAAACAATATCAGAATGTAATGATTTATTAATACAATGTCTACAGAAATAGTACGCCATCCATCTCCCCACACGGCAGCGCACGGCATCCATTACCCACGGGAACATAATGTGTTACGTAATGTCCACAAAATATTATATTTACTGTATTCCGTTAGGGCACATTAGTACACACACACAAACTAAGAATATATTACGGATTTCTATTGCTCGTTTTCGTTTTTGCTTCATTCTAAGCCGAGTAAAAACGCTCACTTCGTAAATCTAAAAGTAAGTAAAGTCTTTTAGTTTCTTTACCGATTAAACACTCTCGCGTTACGACATTTCAACTAACTCTAAGCAAACCCTTATCTAGGTTGTAGTTGGAGAACTTTTATTGAAAATTGTATATTTGTCGACAGATTAGTTTCTTAATATAATTTATTACCTATCTAGGTCACACATGTGATCATGGAAAATTCGCTTTTAAAACGAAAGATTATTAAGTAAGTATGTCTTTATTTTGTCGAAGTTAATTGCACATAACAAAAACCACTCAATTGCACTAAAAACGAAATTTTATTAAACTACACTACTTAAAATAAAACAAAGGGCACAACTTCTGAAACTCGTATCTGATGGGCGATTATTTAGCTAAGCCGCATTTCTATTGGTTTCGGAGTACGGGACCGACGTTATTTGGCAGGCTTCCAGCCCCATTGTGTCCGTATAGCAAGCCATGGAGGGTGGAGGGTTGTAACACGGGCCATGCAACTATGGAACTTCACAATAATCATTATTTTGTGTGCCACTGGAACCCCGGTTTATAGGCAAAGGTTATTGTGGAGGTATTGATTCTACTTATTCAATACTTGTTGGTTTTTGTTGTTAGAAAGAATGTGAAAAGTTTTAGAGAATATGAACGGGTTTTTAGATGTTGTTATGTAATTTATATCTGTTTTTCTGTATATACTAATAATAATAATTTATTTTATTGTGAATCGCAATTCATATTGTATGAAAAACTTTAATTTAATGTAACTACTGGACAGGGTGTATGGTATAGATAGGAACTTATTAAAACTAGATAAAGAGTAGATGCATCTGCGTATAACCTTAATATACCTATCCAGATATATCAGATAGGATTTCACAACTGCCCATTTTAATCAGGAAATTGGATTAGAAAGATGCGCAGTCAGGTGTGCCCTCGAGGTGTGTGTGGTAATACCGATTACAATCGCAAAAGGTGCAACATTTACACTTTTTTTAAATAGGGTATTTGGTAAATCCTGTTAAGTAGAACCTACATGACAGTGTTGCGTTATTACTTAAAATTTAAATAAAGACAATAGATTTTTATAGAGACTGACACCGCGTGAGCCTAAATTGAAATGTTTTGGAGTAATATGCATCTTAGATTTTGTGTAATGTCTGATAAGTTGGTTTTCTTTGTCATTACCTAGCATCTCCTCCTCCTCCTCCTCCTTTCTCTTTTACCAACAATAAACCATATTTTGTTCTCGATTGCAAGTTGTTGAAAGATATCGGTTATTATAAAATATGAAATCATTAAAATGAAGTTATATATATTGAAATGAAATATGCCAGGCTAGGCCAGGCTTAAAAAAGGCTATTCTGTGAGAAGCCAATCGAACTTTTAAAGTGAGCTCGATCGCATTCTCGTCCGTTTTTGGTCGAGAATATTGTTACAACCACTTATCGGATCACGATCGAGTTCACTTCCAGAGTTAGAATAGACATCTTACAGAATATAGCTTTTTTAAGGGGAGAAAATTATTGAATGACCTCTCTCGCCTTGGTGAGGCCAGAGGGAGCGTCAGACTCTTACTGACTAAAAACCACCCCGTTCCTACTCCTGTACTTCGAGCTGGAGTCCCGGTAACCATTTTCGTTCTCCGCGGCTTTACAGAATAGTCTAGGAGTTCAATAAATAATAAATATCAGTTAAGAGTAGTGTTAAAGGTACATAACAGTCCATTAGTACACAGTTACACAGTTACGGTGTCCGTAAAATGTGTTATTGCTAACAAAGAGACGAAATGACGAGCTATCGCCGTTTTATTGTTGTACCAGAATCTCATTATTCAGTGCTTTTGTTTTATTACTGTTTGATCAAAGTACAGACAAGACTTTCGTAAAGAAGAAAAGTCACCGGTGTTCTTTGTAGTTGAATTTTTGCTTGAAGGTTAAAATCTGTATTATTTACCAGACTGTAGGAAGAGTATGTTTTTACAACAGTAATAATAATGTCGGAAAATAGATGATGTTACCAAGAATAAAACAATGCATAGGTTCAATTGGAGTGACGATATCTGCAAAATGGTTGACGGTGGATGGATTTGAAATTTTGAAGGACTGAAGATCGAGCTCAGTGACGTATGTCCAGCAGTGGACGGCAACATACTGATGATATCTTTGTTTGTTAGAAGATTTTATTTGGAAACGTTAAAAGTATTGAATAAACATGACTCAAGTTGATTGATCGTTTGTTTCCTGCTTGTAATGGAAATCAATAGAAAATTATAATATTGTTACACATACATAACATAACGCCTTTTTATACCCGAATGGGTAGACAGAGGTGTACCTACATTACGGCACTTAATGCCACTGTACAATGTAATACCCACTTTTCACTATTTATGTTATGAGTCCCATGTAATAGGGCGTGCGCCTATTGCCATATACCGGGCACAGTTCCAGACTCCGTGCTACTGCTGAGATTTTTTGAAAATCCAGTAATACTTGGCCCGACCCGGGAATCGAACCCGAGACCCCTTACCCGGCAGTCGCACTTGCGACGAGCCAACGTGGTAGTATTGTTACAAACAACGAAAAAACATGCTCTTGTCAACTTAGCGACTAGAGTACGTGACATCTTATTGCAACAGATAAGATTTCCATCAAACTGCCAAATGTCTGTGTCCTTTCTGATTTTCTATAAGTATTCACAAAAAAGTACTTTTTCTTATCAAGAACCGTCAGTTTAGTTTACTTTCATATATTTTGACATCCTTTATGGTGGGTTCCCATAAATTCTTACTTTGAACATTGGAAAAGTTTGATCGAGTTTAGATTTTGGGAGTTACGATAGGTTGGAGGAAAAATTCTGTGTGCGGACTTTGAGGTCCAGAGATTTAGAGTGGATTGCTGTATTACTTCAGAGGGTTCAGTACGAGTTCGTTTTACGTTTAAAAAATCGAAATAACCGCGTGCAGTGCTCTAATTGGTTTGGTTTGCTCTAATTGGTTCATTGGAGCCGGCCAATCAGAGCGCCGGACGCGGTCTCGTTTCTATTACTTTAAACGTAAAACAAACTCTTAACTGCAGGCTCGGTGCGGTGACTGTGCAACAAAAGGCACATACAACACAGGAGAAAATCCTACTGTTTGACAAGGATTCCTAAAAAAAACTCGTAATAAAGGCCTCAGGTATGAGTACAGCAATCGAGTTTAAATAGTCTCAGCTTAACAGCGTGGTTAAAGCTTTACGAACAGACGCTGGTATTACATTTCTTCGGTTTAACATGAGTCACGTAGAATTCTGTTTACGTTTAAGCTATGTATGTTTTTGTATTTACTGTTGACAGTACGAGGTTCATTACTCGTTTGTTACAATGAATAACGTTCCAAAGTAAAGAATAAAAGCGAATTATTTGTCGTACGTCTACAATTTGTTATATTATTGCGAACCGTGCTCTAGCTACATTTATGTCTGAGTGTCTGACATTTATTGCGATGTCCCCGCGTCCTTAGAACACGACTGAAATTAGCAGCAGATTTTAGTTCTCATGTTATTTTTACAAAGGTTGTATGAGTAATTTGTAATATCAAACGCTATTAAATATATGTACTTATATTTGTAAATAATAGGTCTTTTCTTGGTATACTTACAAGTAAGACATTTTAGTCTTCTTGCAATTATTATGATTTGAAAACAGTTATGTGAGTTTTCAAGAAGTGTACTAAATATTTTTTTGTGCTTACTTGTTTGTTAAGAAAAATTACTTCTTTCATGATAACTACCTCGAACTTTACTCATGTTCCAATTTCGAATTTCAGCGAAGATCCAATTACAATATATTAAAAAACTTAAAAACAAACTTGCTTTTAGTTTGCAATTCTGGCAATATGTGGCACAATTGACGAGAGCCCCAGCTGCTCCACGCATTATGAGCATCAATCTATCAACCGACGCGGATAAGTCTGACATATCCCTCATAATGTTGGCACATATAAATATGTATGTATGTACATTATAGAATGACTGAAGAGTACATACCAGAACACATTAAACTATTACTTTAATAGACTTTCGACTTTATTACAATACAATAAGTCATTTAGTATGCAGGCCGGTAAGAATATACAAACTGATACAGTACAGAGTCAGTAACCACTAGTAGGTTCACCACCACACCTGATTGAAATTGTTCTGTCAGTTGAATGTACTTTTTCTTTTTTCTGTCCTCCATTTGCCCCGACTGTATTTTCAATATTGTAAATCTTTAAATCTATTAGATTAGACAAAGGTAGCTTTCGGATAACTTGATGTGCCGGTGTCTGTAGTAACAGCTGTGTGACGTCACTGGCGGGGTAAAGTGGACGATAAATCTCAAGTGTCAGCAGCAGCCTTCTGGACATGTGCCAGATCTGGAAGCATACCTACCAAGCTGTGTTCCTGGTAATTGCACTCTACATCAGCGGCCAAGACATTTTACGGCTGATTGGAAATGCGAGTTATTGGGAGGAGTGCCCTTGCAATCTTGCAAATAGACGAACGTTTCAAAATTAAGGAGATAATTAGAAAATGTTTTACAACGACACTAATTGGTCGCCATATTACACGGCTTTTTGTGGCATGTGCGCATGTGTCTATTAATATAAGATATTCTAGATAGATATTAGTTGTTAAAGCGCCCAGTAGAACTTTCTACTTTCGTCAATGGTTCAATAAATAAACTACCTATTAGCACCTTTGAAATGTTGTGTTGCGTTGTGTAATGCATTTTAAAATAGGTGTCTCTTGACCAGAATTTTTGCATAGATAAGTCACAATTTAATATCTCTTATGTCATTCTTCTCAATATTTACAGGGTTTGATGTACAGTACCTGCAAAAAGACGTGCAGTATAGCGTGCGGGTCGCCGCCCCCGAGCCGGGCTGCGCGCGCGCCGGCCAGCAGCACGCGCATGCAGAATGGAGCTGCGAAGCACAGCCGTCGCTCCCATGGAGACCATGCGCGCATCGCCTGAATGAAAAACAGTATAATTATGTAGTACCTACTAACATAAAGTAGGTATCCAAACGCAAACGTTTTTAGTCAGTATGAGTCTGACACTCTCTCTCACCTACCCCAAGGTGATTTTCCCCCCTCAAAAAAAGGTGTAAAGAATTTGTAATGTAATTTCTTTTACATTTTTAATGTAAATTCTGAAAATTCTACGCAAATAAATCTTTAATTAAAAAATTGTTTCACATAATTGGTGATAATTATCTTATTGTTACCTTATAGAGTCCGATGAGACTGCCGAGGCTGTAGACTGCGAGTGCGAGGTACCGCAGCGGCGCAGGCGCACAGTACACTGTCGCCGTCACCATTGGGATCGCTCCTGCAGACAAACAGACACGGCTTTTAAAATACATAGTCATAATCATCGTCATAATATTTATTCATCAGAAAAAGATATAATTACATTAAAATGAATCGGTTTTGAACCTAATAGACCAATTTGAAAAATTATTACAAAATATTTTTTTTTGTTTGAAGGGTCGATGTTTGACCAGTATCTCGCCTCAGTGGTACCTAAGCGATGATGATGCGGTCTACGATGAGCACGTCGTCCCATATTCTGTCGCATTTCATCCAGATTTTCCAACATAATCGAGACCTACTCTAGAAAAATTACTAGGCGGGAGAAACTGTAGGCGGAAAGCTAATTCTAATTATTATTTTATTACGATTTCATGTTCGTTACAATACCTAAAATTCTTTTACTTACGATGATAAACATTGGACGTAAATGAAATGAATTCTCAGAAAAAGGTAATTGTTACATGTTACCAAACAGCAAAGTGGAAGCCATTTTTATAGTAGGTATTGGATACAAAGTAAGTAGATGGCAGTCGGATAGAGCCGCGGGAAGTACCCGGGCGGAAAATATCCGACACAATCGAACATTAGAGATGGTACCACGTTTCATTCACAATTTTTCCAAGAATTTTAAACATGGAAATAAAGTTATGAATGTACTAGATTGTACCCTGGTTTATATTGCCGAAATAATATTAACACAGGAAAGGAAAGGTTATATTATTATTACGTTTATCGATTTCCAATTGAATTGAAATGCGTTATTAAAGACTGAAGTGTTTGCCAATAATATGGTTTTTTTATCACACACAAAATATTCTACAGCTTTACTTAGAATAAAAATAAAATAATTTCATTTCTCTTCTTACTATTGTCATTTACTTAAGAAAATCTTGTCACGTAGCGTGAAATATACAAAGTTCCTGGCAACACAATTTACGTTGGAGAAATGGTTGCAGATAACAAATTGCATTAAAATCCCGAAGAGAACCATTCCAAGAACAAATTAATATTTCTCTCAGTACCCATTAGCATTCTGCTTAAGTGAATGAATGTGTTTTTACTCGGGAAAACAAAAGTGTAAAAACTGCTCGCTGTAATTTATGCAGTGTCATAGTAACATGTTTTATTTTACGTAACATACACTTTTATGCTTTTTATGTACATATCTATAGGTTTTTTTTATTAATCTTTGGTACAAAACAGTCTTGAATGTTTATTAAGAAATGGATTGCACTAAAATAATATAGTTGTCAGGAGATATGAGATGGTAAAATGTAATTACGTATTTTAGTCACACCGAATTTAAGCTTCTAAAATATAATTCGGATTCTGTTACCCTACTCCAAAGTTACCAATCATTAACCCTTGAAAATATGAAGTATAATTTTAAAATTACATCCACAATTGCCCTAAATAGCCGACCATAAAATTAAGAATGACGGGCAGAACTTACAGGCCATTACATCAGAATCACGATTAGCTACGTACCTACAGACCTACATACTGTACAAGTCCGAAAACTTCCTCGTTAGCCGTCAATCTCGTGATAGATGCGTTTTTAATGACCCTCTTTCCGAAATAAGTTTTATTGTAGTTGTAATAAATCCTTTTTTGGTTCGAAACATATTCTGTGTACAGATGTTACGAGAATATAAGACTTTGTGCTTCGTTTAAGAGGGTTTAGTTTGCGTCGCCGTTTTGTGGTCGTTCGAAGAATAATGTCTGGTGTTCTGACTTAAGCTTAGACGGCTCAGCTCGACGGCAAAGCACGGGCTTTTATTGAGAAAAATAGTACTCGGTTGAAGTTTAAAATAAAAACGCAGTTCATTTTTAAATTACACTGCATTTTTAGGGAATGTTATTGAGATAGCTTTTGTTCATTGCAGTTCTGTATAGTCAAATAATGAATAGAGATAAAATATATCTACTTAAAGAGAAAAGTTGAATTCCGTGGTTTCTTAAATCACTTCCCATCATCGTCATCAGTTATTAAAAGTGCAATATTAGCCATTGCAAAGCATAGCATCTATATAATTGTCTAAACCATTTTTACATAAGTAGCGTCGCGATGTAAAACAGCTCCTATATTCTGACTAGTTTTTCGTATAAAACAACGTTTTATTACCGTATAAATTGTATGTAGGCTTCGTTAAACTACGACAGTAATATTTATTGATAGCCAAAACTTTAGCTGGATTACGAATTGTACGCCAATACGGAAGCTAGTTGATTTACCGAATCGGATTCGAATCTAAGCCATAGTTTATTGAAAAGCAATGGAGTATGGGTAAAAGAATAAAACTGACGAAACTGCTAAATTCAAGGAATTAGTATTTATTTGTTCATACCTAATGAAGCGTAAATTTAACAATTTTTATTTAAAGCTTACATGCGTTGCAGTAAATTACCATACCAACGTAAACAATTCTTTTTTTAAATAAACTATTCTATACACAGATGGCAAATCAACCTTCCCCATTTTTTAATCAATTATCAACTTTGTTACAAAGTTATAAAGTCGTGTTTAAAAAGTATACACCTGAATTTTAATTCATTACGATCAGCTTGCGAAGTGAATGGCCCCCAATTTCTCCTGACTGTGTGTTTTGAGCCCCCTTGTTTGTGGTTATAGAGGGGTGACCCGTCGCCGTCGCCCCGGGATTCCCCACTTAAAGCATTAAGATTAGTCATTCGATATAGGTGGATAAGGTCCAAAATACCTTTATTTAGTACTGGATTAACATCTTTTTCGCAATTTCGGATTCCATGGTGATTCTGCGTAACCGAGTGGCTTTTGAGGTCAAGAACGTACCTAATGAGATTATTTTGATTATGGGGTTTTTGGTTTCGCCGAGTTGGAGATAACTGGACTTTTTTAAAAGGAGTTTGCGATGGCTAGCTATTTTCAGTCCCTTTGTATTAGAAGTCTTTGCACCACTGTAGTACATTTTTACCACCTCGAATTAACATTCACAATATAAGATGAAATATAACGTTTACATCTGATTTTTAACTACAGCGCGAGCTTATTCAACAAAGGAAACAAAACCACTCTCGTTCATATCAACATAAATATTACGTACAAACATACGATTTCAATTGGCAAATGCGTTCCAGTTTGCAGGCCTACACCTTTTGAAGTATAGGGAGTATCATACTTATCCCTTTAAAGCAACCTCTCAACAGAGAGGGACAAAAGTAACACCAATTATGCAGAGTGAGGGAGACAACAAAATGCTGTGCAGTTCGGAGAGGGGTACACCAAGTTGGACGTAGTACAGAAAACTTGTGACTTGAAACAAAGACGTGTCATACTTTGATGTATCCTTTGTTCAACGATGCTCCAGTTAATAGTTGGATCCATTTTAGCTTAAGGGCTTCTGGAATGTGCAATGCGATTTGAGTTTTAATGTTTCAAATATTGAGTTGAGATTTGTTTTGAATTTTATTTTTGTACCTATAAACGCTGTTTGTTCTTTTTATCCAATGTAAGTTTCTAAATAACAAAGTAAGATCGTGAAAAAAAATTGGAAAAGAAAAGTCCATTAATAATTGCAAAAAAATTCAAAATGAGGAGAATATTAGTATAGGTCTGTACTTATTGGAGAACGCTAACAAACATGCGAGGAGTGTAAGTTATGTCCTTAATATATGTTAAGCTGATAAGAAGAAAAATCCTGTATAGTTTAGACTTTCTTAGCCCAGTGTAGTACGTGACTATATTCCTGGAACCACTCCACCTTGTCCGCCCGTATTTGAGTTGTCTAAAGAGGTTTTGCTAAGGAGTTTACAACAAACTTTGGTAGACATCGTGAAGTTGTACATAACGAAACTAAACTATAATGTTTAAGGAAATAAAGGGAACTACATTAAGGTTGTCTTCCCAGAAATGTAGGGAGAAGCCGAAAGTACAGACTGACTGTACTATTACTTGGGGATTTAAGAACTTTACATAACATTGGGGCTGTTATTCTACAGAAGTTCAAGTAGCTGGCACAAGTCCATTTTTGTGGATTCCACATTTAATTTGAGTCTGTATTATCTATGCATTAAGTTACATAACTTGCAGTCTAATAGAAATAACTATAAAGTAAGCAAATATGCATATATCCAAGACCACTTTGTATTTAAAAAAATTGTTGCGTCGCAGACGGATAGTTGAAAATTTCTTTTTAATATTTGTTGGACCGACGTTTGACCACTATCTCGTCTATTGGTAAGCGATGATGCGGTCTACGATCTACGATGGAGCACGTCGTCCCATAAGCAACCTATTCACTCGGGCCTTGAAGACTCCCAGGTTATACCACCATACATTTTATCGTGTTTTAAATTAAAATATTGTGATCCATTTATGTGCACGTGTGTTTCTAGATTTTTGGATTATCACGGTAGATCTTTTCAGAATATCTTCTTTATTCTGTTCGTGGCTATTTTAAAAATTGTTTATTTTTTTTTAATTTTAGACAACAGTTAGACGTATAATAAATATGTCTCGCAAAGATGTAAGAAACTACAAACGATTACTTAAATAAACTTATAGTAGCCGAGACAGAATTAAACAAAAACCTGAATTAGAGAAGACGAAATATTCAGTAAACAGGGTAAAATTAATAAAACGGGAGATATTTTAGGACATTCACGGTCACCTGGCCTCAGTTTATTTAGGTCTCAGAACCTACGCAATACAGCTTGAAATGTTACGACGGTTTGTATAATTTCAAATGTTATTTTGTAAGACGGCGAAAGTCAACAGAATTTAGCTATCAGTCTTATTCCTCTGAAGTTAGGCCATTTATTTGTTAAATACTTACAGAGTCTAAATAACAATGTATGATGTAGCACTAAAGTAACTCATTATCATGCCATTAGGATTATGACTCCGCTTCAAGACAAGTATCTACCATTACGTTTACGATACAGATGTGGTTTTTTAAGGGAGAAAAGCATTCCATTTCTTCTCCCGCCTTGGGTGAGGCGAGAGGAAGTGTCAGACTCTTACTGACTAAAACCACC